TCTGTCTGAAACCTCTAACCCTCTTCACCAGGACGCTCTTGTAGAAGAGACGTTTTAATCTCAATAAGACTTTTTCCTGGTTAAATAAAAAATAAAAATAAAAACTGGCAAACTGAGGGGCGTCCAAAACGGCAATGTGGGGGAGTGCATTTTAAAATAAGTGGAGTTGAATATAATCAAAGTGGAGCTTTTTACAAAGTGACACTTTTCTGTTTATTATTTTCAGTTTTCTCTCCTCTAAGAACAAACACTCTTCAGATAAGACGCTCTGTGCAGAGATTTATTTCTGGACTTTAAAGACTTCATAGAGAGAGAGAGAGAGAGAGAGAGAGAGAGGAGTCTCCTTCACAGAGACTCAGATGAAAGCAGGAGATCCCATCTGTTTGTGTCTGTGCTGAGAGGAAACCCCTGCACACTCACTGACCCCCCCCCCCCCCCGCCCCTCCCTCCCTGAAGATGAACACTGCATTATTCATCCTCGCTCTTTATTTATCCTGAGAGGAAAAACAATCGACTGAGCCGGGCTCTTTTTCAGGGCAGCATCCGGCTACATGCGCTCATACTGCAGAGATGCAGAGATGATGCTTCTGCTCTATTTACAGAACACACGGAGCTGAACCTGCAGCAGCTGGACCTGCAGCAGCTGGACCTGCAGCAGCTGGACCTGCAGCAGCTGGACCTGCAGCAGCTGGACCTGCAGCAGCTGAACCTGCAGCAGCTGAACCTGCAGCAGCTGAACCTGCAGCAGCTGGACCTGCAGCAGCTGAACCTGCAGCAGCTGGACCTGAGCCTGCTCTCTCTCTGAGCTGCAGTGTTTGTGTTGACAGGAAGAGAATCTTCTCCTTCAGCTTTCAAACAGAAACTAAAGAGATTCTAATGTAAAACAGAGGAGTTTGAAGGATCACCATTACAAGCATCACAATATGATATGTCTCAAGCACCGTCTGTTAATATGAATGTTTGAGGTCTGAGTGTTGTCCCCCGTCTGTTCCTGCAGGGGGCGCTGGAGTCCCATCGATGGCGGTCTCCATGCTGGAAATGCTGTCTCAGTCTAACTTTCAGTCAACCTAAGGACAGGCTGAGAGCTGGAGCTGAGGCGGGTTTTAAACCTCCTGACAAACCGTTACACCGCGCCCACCTGTCAATCAGGTCAGCTACACGCCTTATTGTGAATAACTCTTATCCTTCATCAAATCAAAACTGATGAGTCATCAAAACATTCACCCCCCGTACAGTGTGTGTCCATCCAGACATGAGCTAATCACACCTATTTGGTTTTTTGAACCAGGCTGTAAACATGTTCATCTCTGCTGTAAAAACAGGCTTTTTAGAATGGGTGTGTATGTGACTTCCTGTGCTTCTGCAGCCAGCCTCTAGTGGACACTCCAGGAACTGTTTCTCCGGGTCCAATAAAAAGGCCAGAGAGTGATTCAAATGGAGACTGATGCAGAGCTGTATGCTGACAGAGCGTCTGTTAGAGTCAGCTGTGCTTTCTGGCAGAAAATAAACGAGAGACAAACGATAAGAAGAAGAAGAAGAATGTCTGACGGCGTCCTCTGACTTCTGTCTGGCAGACTGTCGGCCTGGCAGACACACCACTGTTTGTCTTAGCTGTTCCAGAGCCAAGAATCTGTTTCATCATCCACAGACTTCATGAACTGGGACACAGCGTGTTTTAAAAAGAAGAATATGCAATTAAAATAAGTGTCTAAGCTCTTAGGTATTCTGATCAGCCATGAGGCAGCTGTTTGTCAAACATAAAAACATGTGATTATATTTTTGCTGTGTTGGATTAAAGAAACACTCAGAAGGTTTCAGTCGACTGAATCAGTCCTCAGAGACGGCTGTGGAGCTGACACAGCTTCTCTCTGTTTAGCTTCTTTTCTCCCTAGCGACAGCATCCTGGTTGCTATGCACGACACTCAGCTAAGCTGCCCTCTTATTGGACAGAAGAGTCAGCCCTGCCTGGCCTCCCGAGGGGCCATCAGCCAATCACAGCAGGAGTTGCAGAGGGCTGTACAGTAACTCTGTGGGTAAACACGCTCCCCAACACACCAGAATACGACCGTCTGTTTGAGTTTAAAGGTCCAATCAGTGAGATGATAAAGGTATCTTACTCTCTGATCATTAAGGAAACATGCTATGTTGAAGTGCTGGCCCGACCTAAAAAGCCTCTGCATGTTTCTAATAAGCTCCACGAGCAGAAACGTGCTCAAACTAGGATCAATATTGGAGATGCTTTTGAAAAATGGAGAGAGGTTAGAACACAGAAAGGTTTACAGACCCATGCAGAGCTGGATAAACACTGAAGCTTCAGAGTCCACCACATGGTGACCTGAGTGAGCATCCACTCTAGAGAGGAGGGGGGGGGCAGCTCTCTAATGTTTAGAATTCAGACTGCAGTACACATTTTAAACACTAGGGGTCAGAGTTACATATTTACTTGAGAATTCATGAATCAATGATAAAAAATGAAAATCAATCTTTACTTTTATATTTCAGAATAAACTATTTTACCAAATACTTATCAAATACTTTTCCAGCATCGTCACGTCATCTTTGCAGGAAGTTTTCAGTGTTTCAGACTGTGATCAAATTGAATGTCAACATAAGCTGCTTCAGAGTATATAATATGAATGAATCTGGATTTAACCTTCATGTTAATACAACATAGCTTCATGAGTATCTAGAATAACATGTGAATAATTATGACTGTTAGGATTTACAACACCCTGACTGCTTTCAAGGCCTGATTTAAGATCGAACCGATAACAGGTCCTCACAAATAGAAATGTATTCTTTAAGTTATGAAGGTTAAGGCTCTCATTCATCCGAAGGGCACATTCATTTAGTCTGTAAGCATGCAGTTCAGGATCATTCTGGGTTATTTTAAGGTGAGTGTTTCATATCTAAAAACAGGCTCATTATTTGTCCAATGTGTTTCCAGGCAGCGTAGACAACATACCTGTGATCAGCAGCTGTGTCCACATTAGATTTAAGAACAGAAACATGGTGAGGAATCCTCCCCGCCCTCTTCTTCTTCCACTCATCCTTCCGTTTCTGCAGCTCAGCTTCTCTCACCCCTGGAACAATGCATCGAGGACAGCAGCTGGTGTATTCCCGTGCATATGTCCGTGGATCCGCAGCATGCAGCATGAAGGGAGGCGACGCTGCTGCAGGAGCTCCGGAGATCCGCAAGGGCGACTACCCCGCACCCCCCCACCCCCCACCGCGACGCTCCTTCCCGGGCAGCGGAGTCCTACAGCGGCCGCTCTGCAGCAGCTGAAGCCCCGGGAGAAGCAGAGGTTTCCTCCATGTGAGACTCAGGGAGGACGGAGAGGTGTGTGTGGTTAGATTCAGGTGGAGACAAGAGATGTTGATGATGATGATGATGATGAGAGGGAGGAAGGGGAGGAGAGGGGGCGTGGTGAGGAAGAGAAGTAGAGGAGGATTAGTCATTCATATTTTAAGAACTAACGTCAATTTTTTTTTTTTATATATATTCAAATAAGAACAACTAACTGAGATGTGTTGTATTTAATGTTCAATAAAGTGGTAGACATGTTCAAACTGTTTGGTTAAATTGATGCTTAGAGATTAGACACAGTTCAAATAGAATATGTCTATTTTGACCTCTCTGTGGTTAAGGGGTCAAAATAGTGAATGTGTGTTTTAAGGTTCATTAAAGTGGTCTGCCAATGGAAGGTCTAAACAAGTCTTGGGAATTTGTTCTCTGTGCTTTGCATGTTTCACTGCAGCTCCAGTCTCTTTCATAGCTTCCAGATTTCCTCTCAGATATGAATCTGGATTTTAAGAGGAAATGTCTGAAGAAGCTGTTTAAGGCCGTCAGAAAGGTGGACATGACATATTGTAAGAACTGAGTGAATACAGCGCCCTCTGCTGGTCAGATGACTGAGGTGCAGGCATGAGGCAGCTCTCATTCTCAGGGCTTGTTTTCACCCAAACGGGAGCGTGGTCACTCTGGCGAGCAGGAAGTGACGTTCGACTGCGCTTGTGAATGTCCAGGGAACTGGAGTTTTTATTTTTTATGACTGGTTCATTGACCATAACAGGCCTTAAAGGGGAAGAATACATTTAATTCCATTTTAGAAAATCCTCCTTCACATCTGACTAAACTATTAATATTGTTTTGTCATGATGTCACAGTCTTTCATTTGTACTGAATGCTTGTTAAATCAAATGGTCTCCAGTAGGGAGCATACTGTTTAAAACCTCAGGAACAACAAAAGAACACGTGCATGCATCACACCTGGGTATTTAGTGCACACGACCCACATGTGACACGTAGACAGTGTGCAGGTCTGATGGATTCATTCTTCTCTCCAACAAACTCAGGAAACATCGTCGATGAGACGGTGAACATCTCGGTCACTTCCTGGATCTGAGAGGTTCATGTCTGGGCCTCGCCCGACCCCGTGATCCCAAACAGTCAAAGTGGAATTTTCCATTTACTTTCCCGGAATGGAGCCCTCCCTCCTTTTCCCTCCCTCCCTTTCTCTTCCTCCTTTTATCTCCCTCCCTTTATCTTCCTCCCTTTCCCTCCCTCCCTTTCCCTCCCTCCCTTTCTCTTCCTCCTTTTATCTCCCTCCTTTCCCTCCCTCCCTCCTTTCTCTCCCTCCTTTTCTCTCCCTCCTTTCCCTCCCTCCTTTTCTCTCCCTCCTTTTATCTCCCTCCCTTTCCCTCCCTCCTTTTCTCTCCCTCCTTTCTCTTCCTCCCTTTCCCTCCCTCCTTTTCTCTCCCTCCCTTTCCCTCCCTCCTTTTATCTCCCTCCCTTTCCCTCCCTCATTTTATCTCCCTCCTTTCTCTTCCTCCCTTTCCCTCCCTCCTTTTCTCTCCCTCCCTTTCCCTCCCTCCTTTTATCTCCCTCCCTCCTTTTATCTCCCTCCCTCCGCGACAGTTCCTCGTTCCTCACGCAGTTTACGGGAAGCCCCGCCCCCTCCACGCACCACCCCCTCCTGTCACCTAAAACCGGCTCGCCCTCCCCCTCCGTCCTCACTGTGACTCTGCGTTCCTCCGGATCGTTTCGGGACTCGAACACTTCTCTTGTTTCTTTTTGACTTTTTAAACCGCAATCATGAATCAAGTGAACACGTGCCTGAAACGCATCTTCACCGTCTTCAACATCTTCTTCGCGGTGAGTCTGACAAACCTTTCAACTCCAACATGACACCAACATGACACCAACATGACACCAACATGACGGCTCTTCAGTCTGAGGAGGAATAGAAAGTGCGCAGCGGCGGTTCAGAGCTTTAAAGTAGTTTTATTTGTATATAGATATTAAAGTCTGTGTGGCAGAGAGTCTTAGTCTTAGTCTTATTCTTAGTAATGACGTTTCAATGAAGAAAATAACTTCAACAGCAGCTCGAACAGAGAAAATCATCGAATTTAAAGTTCGATTAATATGAATAAAAGGACTTAGAGAAGTTATTTAATATAGTTTACTGTGTTAAAATCACGCGTGACTATGACTCTATGATGTCATCTTATCTCATCAGCGGCTGGAACTAATTAGTGTTTGTTTTCCCCTTAAAAGTGTCTTAAAAGTCTTTACAATGATTGTAAATAGTTTTTTATAATCTTTAGTTCGGGTATTGTTGCTAAATATGGGTTACAAACTATTAAATTAAAGTTAAAACTTAAAAACATGTTTTTCACTGAAGCAGGTGAGCTTATTCAAATCAGGTGAGTGTTTTTAAGCTCCTTCATTCCGCAGTTTTTGGACTTTGTTGTCATGAAATGGGGTCAGTTTGACTTAGCCCAGCTTTAAGACTCCACATTTAAAGTGTTAGTTTGTAATTCCTCTCAGTTTATGTAACATCTGTATTTAATGAGCTGGAGACTAAAGTTTGGTATTTCCGCTCTGCAGTTTCATAATGAACAGTAACATAACCCTAATCATCAAATATCCTCTGAGGGGTCATCAGAATGAGAAGGAGCACTCATTCAATGTATTTCATTCAGAATTCATCAATAAACTAATACAAAGAAATTGATGAATCATTTAAATCCTCTCTTCAAGACTAAACGAATCAGTAAGCAGCTTCCTGACTTTGGCAGTTCAAAGCAGGGTGAGGCCTAAAGGTGTGGTGAAGTCTGATCTGCCATCCAGGTAGCAGCTGAGGCATGACGAGGTCACTCCAGCCTCGCTCTTTGTGTCAGGGCGGAAACCAGCTGTGTTTTGGTGTGAGTGTAGACGTAGAGGCCATTCTGTTTATTTACCTTTTCACGCCTCGGCAACGCCATAAAGCGAGTTCAAATCACAAACTGGGACACCGATATACGATTCAGTAACTCCAACGTTCTTGTTTGTTATCAACCAAAATGTAATAAAGTTGTTTTGTTTTTTATTGAATGAGTTTGTTGTCTGTTTCAGATTGTTGGCGGCATCATCATCGGGCTCGCTCTGCTGTCTCAGGTCTACACCAACATTAATGGCAATGTAAGGTCATTCAATTGATTTCACCAAAATCAAATATATATCTCCGGGTTTTTTTTTTTACGTTTCTAAATATTGTGCACCTGTATGTCATCCTTTGTGCGTGCAGGTAGAGGGTCGGACCACCAGCCTACTGCTCCTTTACGTTGTGGGCGCCACCACAATGGTCATCGCAATTTTGGGAGCCTACGGCGCCCACAAGGAGAACAGAGGTTGCATGATCGCGGTGAGTACAAACTGTGTCACCACACAGGGAGGCACAGGATGACGAAACTGCAGAAAAAAAAGGAACTGAAAGAGATTTTATTTCCAAATCACAGAATCATAAAAAACAGTTTCACAAAATGTATGTCACCTGCTGGGAAAAAACCCAAACCACTGCAGCTCAGCAGAACGCCAAACTGTGAAAGACTGTGAAACTAAAAGCTCTGAAATCAAACTTATTCTGACGTGTTCTGTCTCTGCAGTTCTTGGTTTGTATGGTCATTGGATCACTGATGCTGCTCCGCGCCGGCATCGTCCTCGCCTCCAACCGCTCGCAGGTAATAGCTCTGACACTCTTCTACTGTAGAAATCATGGCAGTTCAAAGTTTCAATAATCTGATCTCAATCTTAATTGATGAGCTTTAAAGGTCAAATATAAATCTAGACTAAATCATATAGATGTGTTTCAGCAATTCATTTATTTTCCAGAACATTGAAACACATCTGTCGGCCGTTAAAGGGTTAAAAAGCGTTCATCTCCTCGCCATGTTCATGTGAGCTGTTTGTGTTTGTAGGTGGAGCCCACACTGGAGGAGAAGCTTAAACTGCTCGTGCCTCTGAACCAAGCTCCACAGGAAGCACAGGATATGGCAAACAACCTGCAGACACTGGTAACACACACACACACACACACACACACAGAGACACATAGAGAGACACAGATACACACACACACACACACACACACACACACACACAGAGACACACACAGAGAGACACAGATACACACACACACACAGAGACACACACACACACACACACAGAGACACAGATACACACACACACACACACACACACACACACACACACACACACCCCTGAATAAGTGAAAATGAGCCACAGATCTTTATCTTCCATCATATTTCCTCGGTCAACATTCCCATCATTGTTTTCATGTTAGCTTCGTCTCTGGTATTTATTCTGTCCTCTCCAACTTTCTGCTGAATTTGAATAGTAACTTCTCGTTTACTTATCTTAAGGTTGAATTTTTTTTTTGTTACCTCCTTCCTGTTTCGGCTGTTGGCTTTTGTTCTCACTTCATGTTTGTCGTTCTTTTGAGAAGCACTTTCGGCCACATCCTCTTATGTTTTGAAAAGTGGAGTTGAAGTTATCTAAAGGACATCATCGTCATCAGTTCAGTTCAGATCTTTATTGTCCTTAGAAGGGAAATTTGATTTGCAGCAGTGGACAGATAAACAAACATAAGACAGTGCAACCTGATGAGATACAACCAAGAAGTATAAAACTCACTGTCCGTTAACTTTCACTCAAATGGTAGAAATAAATAAATATAAAGTGCAATAGCTCTGCTTGAAAGTGCAGTCAAGGATTTAAAGAAGATTAAGAGCATTAATTGCATGAGGAACATGTAAATCTGTTTGCCTCATGGAAGACTTTCACAGTCTCAAACCAAACGATGTTCTTTAGATTTGTTTGTAAAGGTCTGTGGTCGAGGAAACTTCCTGACACGATTGAAGAAACCGCTGTCCTGGTTTAAACCGTGTGAAGCGTACATGTGACCTGGAAACTCACAATACATAAACACAGCTTACTGCTTGGGGCTCCAGGCCAGTCAGGGCCCCCCGAGGGCCAACAAACTTTGAACCAAAGCAGGGGCTCAGAATGTGCAAGTTTTACAATGACAGTAGGATGCCTCCCTAATGGGGCCCCATCAGGATCCACTTGTCCTGTGAAAACTTAAGATGGTCACTTTAAGATGGCGTCAGAAGTGTTTGCTTCTGTTTCCTGACTGATAAATGTCAAACCTCTGACCTCCTCCTCCTTCTTCTTCTGTGGTGTATAGGCGCAGTGCTGTGGTCTGTTCAGCTACGAGGACTGGAGGTCCGACATCCCTGACTCGTGTGTCTGTAACGATGAGGAGGTGATGGAGGACTTGTGTCAGACTGTCTCCTACACGGTGAGTTTCAAACATTCACATTGAGTTCCTAAATGACGATGTTCATAATGCAGAATAATAAACGTCTTTCTCATGACAGTCTATCATGCTGACTCAGAAGAACATCTACACCAAGGTGAGTTAACCACAGACATTTCACTGTGACTATATCTCACTGCTGTTAAATATCAAATCACTCATGGCGTTCTCTCTCTCTCTCTCTCTCTCTCTCTCTCTCGTCTGCAGCCCTGCTTCCCCGTCATCATACACTACCTCCTGCTGATCATTGACATCATGGTCGGCATCATCTTCTCTCTGGCTACCCTGGCGGTGAGCACAATATTTATTTATTTTTGCGGACGAATTTTCTCAAATACAACAATGTAGACGAGGTCGTTTGCTAAATGAAATCAAACTAAAGGTCGGATCAGTGAGATGATAAAGTGAGCTTACTATATGATCAGACATTAACCCTCAGACATCATTTACTCCCCTCTGAAGTCACTCAGGACAAAAATGTCCACTTCCAGAAAACTGCCATAAAAATAGAACAGATTGATATTTTTTTCTGCATAAATCTCTTAAACAACTTCAGCCCTGCTCCAAACTACCAAATATTGAATAATTATCAGGAATTTAACCCTTTAAATGCCAGAATCATGTAATCAAACCATTTTCGCCCCCCAATGTCCAAACAGGGAACTACATTATCAATCTGATGCTACACAAAAACTAACAATGCATCAAAGTCAATATTTTGGATAATCTTTGACATATCCAAGACTGATGTAAAAAAATCCCCCGGCCACTAAATATTTCTTATATGGAAAATAACTCATTTTTGTTTGTTTTTCTTAAATAACAACAGGGACATCAAGTAATCAAACTGGCATTTAAAGGGTTAAATTCCTAAAAATGATTGAATGTTTGGTAGTTTAGAGCAGGGCTGAAGTTGTTTGAGAGATTTTTATATCAGTTTTTTGGAAGTGGAGATTGTTGTCCTTAGAGACTTCAGAGGGTCGTAAACATGTTTCAGTGATCTATTCAAAAAAATGAGATGTTGATTCCAAAATGTGTCAAGAGTCTTTCTTATAAAAATGTGTTCCATATGCACTAACAGACAAAATGATGGACAGATGAAGAGGAGACATTTGACCAAATGGACAAAAATGTCCATAGTGAGTCATGAGGGTTAAGGAAACATGTTGAAGTGCTTCTCTGACAACAATGCAGCAGCCACTATGTTTTACCTGCACGCTAACCCGTTAGCTTCTTGAGCGCTGAACAGCCCCTCCACTGCCTGGAATTCCACATAAAGAATTCAGTATTGATCACCTGTCTGTGTTTTCCTCCTCCAGCTGCTGGGCCTGGCTCTGTCCTCCCTCATCATCCATCAAATGCGTCATCCCAACCGGGCCACCGTCGTGCTGTCCGTCCCCGCCATCTTCGCCCCGTCAATGCCCAAATACCAGGAGCTGCAAAACCCTCCACCCAAGTACCAGGAGAGTCCTCCACATTACTAGAGGAACAACTCCCCCTCCCTCCGTCTGTTAGCCTAATGTTCAGGGTCGTTTACGGGGTCTCTCTGTTTGTTGTGCCTTACACACCTGACGACTCCCCAAACATGACGGAAACTCTAACCAAAAAAAACCCCACTGGCTCTTCTCATGGCTAGCAGCTTCTGCACCTACATTAATCTTTATTTTGAAATAGCTACAAGTAGACCATCTCAGGGGGGCGGGGCTTATTCATTTCCTTATCTGCTTTTTTGGTACGAGGAGAGGACTTCTTTTAAACAGCGTGAGATCCGTTCTACAAGATTATTTTGCACTCATCAACTTTTACACAATGCAAAAAAAAAACAAACAAAACTTTTTTAAACTTTATCGCAAAAAAAAACAAAATCTGCAAATGGCCTTAAATAAACGTCAGTCAATGCAATTTTTTTAACTGCAGCGATTCTGACAGCAAAGAGCTTTACGAAGGTTTTTAATCTACCTTCAACTGTAATCATCCCTTCATGATGCACAACTCCCTGAAAGAGACAACCAGAAGGCTTTTATTTTGAAAAACACGAGCTCTGTGACTACAAGGCTCTCCAGATAAATTGTGAAGTTAGTCGGAGCTGTAAGCCGCAAGCGAGTTGAATATTTTTGTGGTGAAAAGGGGAGAAAAATAATAACTGGAAGAAGAAGCCAGTTAAAGTGTGAAACTGGAAAAAAGGGAGATCTAATGTTTGTAATCTTTTCTTTGTATCATGTTTGATTCTCCTGCTGTGAGCTGAAACTGGTAGATAAATAAAAACGATAAAAGAACCTGTCTGTGTGTCATACTGAAGACGTGTTATCAAAAATCCACTTCTACAGTGTTTCAGAAGAAACCAGAAAACAAGTGGTTGTTTCCTTCTTAGGAAGCGAGGGAGTGTAAATAAATACGTTTTTATCTTTCTCTGTTTCATTACAAGAAACCAAAGTTTTTAAAATTGTTTTTAAGAATAGAAGTGTTGGGAGGAGAGAGCAGGGGGCGAGGTCGCTTCGACGAGGAGTGCAGCGCTCAACCTAACCACTAGGCCATCGTCGCCGCTGAAACCAAAATTTGCAACAATAAAAAAAAAACGCTTCTTCCGACCACTGGTTATCTGTTTTTCATTTTTGTTTTGAAGACCAAAATCTGAATAATACACGGATTGAGAAATGCCAAGGAGTGAGCCAGCATCGACCTCCAGGGTAAAAAAAAAAAAAAGGACACAGATGCAGAACGAGCAGGAAGAACAACAAGTCAGGTACATACCCGTTCATACAAAGAAAGGAGGAGAGTTGAAGCCTTCTCAGAATTACCCATGATGCATTGGAGTGCAGAGCGCCGTGTTTGAAACCACAGCGTGAAGAGTGACCCCCAAAATCTGACTCGCTCCAGTTTGACTTGTTCCCTTTAAAGTAGTTTTTGGGTAATCCTGTTTAAGCACGGTACGGGACAATGCGCCCTGATAAACTCTGACTTCACATCTCTAAGGATCTCTGAGGACACGATGAGCAGATGTCAAAGGCTTGAATGTCTGTTATGTTAGACTTAACCTATCGTGACCTTTAGTGACCTTTGATCCATCATTCAGACCCTCAAATAGAAAGGTTTAAACCTGAGCTCTTCTTTCTTCACAGATCATTCCCCATGTTTCCCAAGATGTTTTTGTGCATGTGAAATAACGACAATCTGTGCGACACCTTCAGTGCGTTGTGTAAATCGTTATAATTATTCTTTTATATGTTTACAAAAACACTTTGACACGAGAAGTTTCAAAAATTACATCTCCAAAAAAAGTGCAGATTTTTCTTTTTTCTCATCCGTCCTCGTTTTTCCATCAGAACACAAACGGCGTCGACGTTTCTCATGAAGGTGGCAGAGAAACTGTTCCGTGTGTGTTTGTTTTTTTTTAAAGTGAGCAGAGCGAGTAATGAAGCATGTCAGGTTTCACGGCCACACGAATATAACTTATTAAATAATCGCTTTCAACTTTTTATTATTTTAAAAGAGAAACAAACAAAAAAGAGCCTCTTACAGAAATCAACATGCATGGTGTTATTCCTCTGTGTGTGTGTGTGTGTGCGTGTGTCTGTGTGTGTGTGCGTGTGTGTGTGGAGAGAGGATGAAGGAGAAGCTGCACACCGACGCCGTCATGACGTTTAAACCCAAAACAATCAGCGAATAAATCAAATGATAACGAGTTAATCGACTCAAAGCCTGAACAAGTCGAGTCGTTTTGTAACATGAACGAACGTCACGGCTGTTTACGACACGTTTAATCAATAAATCTTTAAACGACCTGATTGGATTCACGTCTTTACAGATATTTGATCTGATTCAGTAAACAGACTTTTTTAT